GGTCCCTCGTCACCAAGAATAGATTGACCCCTCTCGTTTATGGAAGTAATGTTTATCATAGACTGGCCAGTGGTGCAGAACTTATATCCTAGTCAAAATGTCATGTCAGTTACATCCAATCTCATTAATATACAGATATTATTTTGATTCTTGGAGTATAATTTTAAATTTCTGGGTTTTCGCTAAAATAAACTTAATAATATTTGACACAAGATTATTGACAAATGAAAAACCAAGATTATAACAGCAATACTATATACCGGAAAACAACGGAAAACACCGGGAAATACCGGAAAACACCATTTTATACTGAATACCGGAAAACACCGGAAAAACACTAAATACCGGAACGGTTTATAGTATAACCCTTCTCCGGGTTACCTATTTAGTAGTAGATTTTAAAAGTGACAATGATTTCGTAGAAAGAGGTTTCAACCTAAGTTATAACCTTTATGATACTGCACGAAAGTTCATTTACTCTATTTTTGTCAAAGTATTTTATAATCTATTTCCTACGGTAGCTCCGAAGTAAAATGTTGTGGCTTAATCGGTCTATCGGTCCACAGATCTGAAGGCAATGCGAAAAAAAAGCTCTATGATGAATCCGCGATCACATGGAATTGCACGTCAGGGAACCGCCGGTCCCTCGTCACCAAGAATAGATTGACCCCTCTCGTTTATGGAAGTAATGTTTATCATAGACTGGCCCGTGGTGCAGAACTTATATCCTAGTCAAAATGTCATGTCAGTTACATCCAATATCATTAATATACAGATATTATTTTGATTCTTGGAGTATAATTTTAAATTTCTGTGTTTTCGCTAAAAAAAACTTAATAATATTTGACACAAGATTATTGACAAATGAAAAACCAAGATTATAACAGCAATACTATATACCGGAAAACAACGGAAAACAATCGGAAAACACCGGGAAATACCGGAAAACACCATTTTATACTGAATACCGGAAAACACCGGAAAAACACTAAATACCGGAACGGTTTATAGCATAACCCTTCTCCGGGTTACCTATTTAGGGTGTTTTCCGGTATTTAGTGTTTTTCCGGTGTTTTCCGGTATTCAGTATTATATGGTGTTTCCGGTATATAGTATAGCCCAGATTATGATCTTTTCTGAAACTGGAAAGCTAGATAGAATTCAGCTAGGTTTGGAAGCCAATTTACACAAATCAAGAATTTTCAATTAAACCGTGTATTTATTTACAGGTTCCTGTAGTTCAACTCTTTTGGTTCACAAATATCCAAATTATTTCCAGCCCAAGAACTACTACAACAGTAATAACTATACAAGGTAAAATCTTGCAAATTAAATGTGGTAGGTATATTTTTGGACGCTCTGACCAAATTATGTCCGTTTTGGCCCAAATTTTGACCGCTATGTCTAGTTATTGGTGTCATGTCCAAGTATTTGGTCGTCATGTCCAAATATTTGCCAGTATTACCAAATTATGACGCTTTGAACAATTTGAATTTTGGCTATGTTATAACCACATCCCATTCATGACACCAGTTCCCATATAGTAGCATATATAATGACATGAAAACAAAAGGAGAAGTGGAATACTCACTTGTACAAAAAAAAACATAAACACTTTTAGCCAACTGTGTGATTGATTTGATTGTATTGCCACATACAGGCAAGAGTACCAAGTCGTATGATTCCTATGCTATAAAATATACTCCATATAATTCAGTGAGGATTTTGTCATTTCAGAGAAAATGTGTGTGATTTCACTTTGGTTAAATCATTGCCGTCCAGATATTATGTAATTGTAGCAGAGGTGGTTGAGGCAAGATTACCCGGACTCGATCCAGTATCCCGAAGATGTACAAATAATCGTGTTGCTTTATATGAAGGTGGGTAGATCTTCGGAGCTGAAGTATTGTCGGTTAAATCTATTACGGATATAAAACATTGCTCTATCCAGCAATGAAGTCGACTCCATGGCAGCTATGTGAATGAGTATGATATGATGTAAACAGTAAACATTTCAGCTAAAGAACGAACAAAAGAGGCGTAACCTTGAACTTCGCTGTGGCTATCCAAATTATTCTATGAAAAGACTTAACAAGAAGTCTTTTTAAAGCTTTTTGACCCGTTGTTCTTTGACCAGCAGGATTTCGTGGCCAAAGAAATAACTCCATGAAGTATTATTGCGCAATATTGATTCCATGGCGTCCCTTTTAAAGATTATCTGAACATCCTGACCAGATTATTTGTTTTATTTATCAAAAATCACATCAGTCATTGATAATAAATCTGGCAATACGTGTGTGATCTTGTTGATAAACATACATTATCGTATCCGTACTCTCTCACTGCACAATTCTTATTTGGCTACAGGTGGTCTCTGTGGCATTTAGGTATATTAACCAAAGTACCTCGAAATAAAATAAAACCAAAAACGAACAATCCAAACCATTAGACAAAATTCGAAGTCCTAAAAAACGGTAAAGGCAAAATAGTGTAATCAGCATATGGACTGTTCACCTTATACAAAAAACACGACAAACAGTGGTAACAGGTGTCCGGAAGAGTAAGCTTACCCTGCCTGGCGCCACACCCTGTCATAGCTGAATCCAAACTATTAGGCGAAATCTCGGTAAAATATATTGGTTATTTGTACTTAACATGTAACTATAAAGCTACTGGGTTTCAGGTAAATCTCGGGGACATAAAATATCCACCAGCAGAGTAACCCACAGTTATTGTTCCCGACTCGTGATTATAGTTAAATCCCAAATTTCAGCCATAGTTTAATCGGATATCGAGTAAGCGGTGGGTCATTAATCCCTGGAAGGCTACATGTTTTCTATCTGTCCGCTCGCTTGTGATTTTGTTTTATTTAACTGTGATATTTTTTAACTATCGTATATAGCAGAGTTACAGATAAATTTCTCTTCGTGTGATTCCGTTAATTGCTTAATGAATTCTGTCTCTTTGTTGAATTGAAATCAATAAAAATTATGTTTTCTGGAATTATTTTAGGTTAGACTGAGGTATTTGATGGAAGGGTGGCACATTGATGTATATTGCAGAGTTACATTTCATGTTCGCATTTCGTAGATTTCCGTTAATTTGTTTTTCATCCCATGGTGTTAGTAACATACGCGATTTAGACAGCGCTCGCGTTCTCTTCTCTTCATTTCCTGTGGAGTGGTCGTTTGTTACGGCAACCAGCCGTTCTTTGCCTCAACTTGACGAAGTTTTAGGGAAACCACGGGGTTCTAGACGAAATGGATCGTGTTTTCTGAATTCTTATTCTTTGTTGACTTGACACTGTCGCACAATTTAATTATCTATACGTATTTTGGATTATATAGTCTGAGAAATGCTGTTATCAGTATCTGCCACTTATAAATGCTTGCAATGTAAAATTTGTTGGGGCTAGTAGGAGACATATTGTATTGCTCAGCAATAGTCTCAGGATGCTTCGCTCCCATCACGACATTCCTTACATGATGAGATCCACTCTAGGGCAAATTACTAAACACCCATAGCTGTAAGAGGGCAGAGTGGTTCGAACAAATGGCGTTTAATTTTCCTTTTATACGCTCACATTTTCATGTGGACGTATATTGTCGTCGCCCCTGTCCGCCCGGATGTCCGTCCATCCGTCCAAAATTTGTTTGTGGACTCTCTACTGGTCATTATTTATATCCGATCTGCAAAAAATTGGAAAAGTAGGTTTATAACCCAAATATTTCGATTTCTGTCGATATTGGCATTATCGGACCGTAACTTTATGAATTATGGCCCCTGATTGTTGGAAAAGTCGTATTTTTAGTAAGTGGACATTGTAAAGGTCACATTTTTTATCTGATTATGATGAAACTTGAAATGTATATTTATAACCCAGAGATTTCGATTTCTTTCGATATTCGCGCATATGGGACCGTAACCTCCTGGACTGTGACCCCTGGTTGTACAAAAAATCTAGATTTTAGCTTGTGGACCCTCTAGAGGTCACAATTTTTATCCAATTTAAAAAAAATGTTCAAATATACCATCGTTACACATAAATGACGGTTAAGTTCAATTTTCGTGAAAATCTGACCGAAACTGCTCAACAAAATAGCCGCTCCTCGTACGCAAATAGTGTAAAAGTGGGTAATACCAAGATAATGTGGACCCTGTAGAGGTCACAATTTTTATCCGATTTTTATGAAACTTGAAATATAGGTTTATATCCAACAGATATCTGGATTCCTGATTGTACGAAAAATTACGTTTTTAGCTTGTGGACCCTCTAGAGCTCACAATTTTTATCCGAGTAACAAAAATTTTAAATATATCACCGTTACATCCTAATGATGGTTTAGTTAGAATTTCGTAAAAATATTCCCGAAACTGACCGACAAAATGTCTGCTTCTTGTACGCAAATAGTGTAAAAGTATGTAATATAAGAGTATTTGTCACTTCCTGGATTATGGCCAAAGTCGCTCATTCTCTGTCCATCTTTTTGCAAAATGTGGATGTATCTTGCGTTGCAACCGCTGATTTCTTTAGGTTTTGATAAAATTCACGTTCGCGTTTCATGCAATTCGGTTAATGGTACGTTTTTAGGTCACAATATTTATCCTATTTAAAAAAAACCCAAAACGTTTAAACATATCACCGTTACACCTTAATGATGGTTGGGTTCGAATTTCTTGAAAATCAGGCCGAAACTGTCGGACAAAATGGCTGCTTCGTGTACGCAAATAGTGTAAAAGTATGTAGTAGTTATTAGCGCCCTTTCCGAGGTGTATCGGTGAATATCAGGACAGTTTTGGTCGAGGGGCCCAGCCGAGGCGGCCCCCGACCAAAACTGTCCTGATATTCACCGATACACCGAGGAAAGGTGCTAATAAGTTACTTACATCACATTTCTATCGAGTATTGTGAACCAACATGTGAAAAATAGTATTTATTATCGAGTCGTTTCAACCGAAAAATGACAAATATTTTCTGCTTCTTCATTATTTATCCATTTCTGAGCCTCACGTTACATTTCGCAGTGGAGAAACGACCTGAGTAGTATTGTATTTGCACGTGCGTCTCGCTTCCTTACTCTAAGCGTAAAACAGTCACGTGTTGTTTAGACTGCACTCCGTCATGAAAGATGGAGGTGTTTGACGAAGTCGGTGACTTGATCCTGTCACAAATTCCACTTGACGATATAGAGGACTTTAATCTAACCAAAGAGCAAGAAAAAAATAGGTTTGCTAAACCTGTAAGTGGTAGTTATATTGAAACGATGCAGGAAAGTAGAATTCCAACTGAGACCAAACGAAATACTCGGTGGTGTGTCAAAGTTTATGATTCGTGGGCCTTGCAGAGAAATTCATCTGTGACTTCGAATGGCGTCCAAGAAAGTGAAAAATACTGTTTTGTGGCACCTCTGTCTTCAGAAATAACAGCAGAATGTCTGGATTACTGGATGTGCAGATTTGTGTGTGAAGCTAGAAGGCAAGACGGCAGTTACTACCCTGCTTTGTCTCTTAAAAGTATATGTATTGGTATTTGGAGATTTATTTGCAACACATGCACACGGTATGACCTGAATTTTATGGACAACAATAATAATCATTTTGTCAATTTCCGGAGTACATTAGATGCAGTAATGAAACAGTTAAACAGCCAAGGCATAGGAACGCATACAAAACGTGCTGATCCTGTGACACGCACAGATGAGCAGAAATTGTGGGATTCTGGAACGTTTGCTTTGAACAATTCTAGGGGATTACTCAATGCTGTTTATTTTTATAATTGTAAGGTGTTTGGTCTGCGGGCTGCAGATGAGCACCGTAATCTTGAAGTTTCTCAATTTGCATTTGGAGAGGATAACAAGGGTGAATTTGTTCGATTTCAAGGCAGAAAAACGAAAAACAATCAGGGCGGTCTTGGACAAAGCGGGAAGGTACAGTTCAAGTAAGGGTGATTTATTTATTTTTATTTACATTAATTTTTTTTTGCTACTGCAGTTTACGATTTAAAGTAGTTATAAGTCTCTAACTCAATATCATCCAAAGCCTTACACGTTGAAAACAGGAATTATTTGTCAATTCAAATCAACTCAACATTGATGTTGTTATCTTCCCTTGAAAAGGTAGGCTTCTGATATCCAATATTTGAGACAAAATAAACATTTTACTATTGGTACACGAATCGTGTACCATAGTGCGTTTCAGCGTCATTTGTAACAAGTGACCTGAAAGAACGGGGCTAGACATATTCCACAACTCATGTCAAACGGCGACGCCATAACTTATCTGGAGAGCATACGCTAGAAATTTCTATTCGGTTGAGACTCATATCGTATTTCGCTGGACATAACTGATATTTGAAATTAGAGTCAAAACGGAAACAATTGAATGTAAATCAGTTCATATACAATCAGATTACAATATTATATGCGTTGCGACCCATTTGGGTCAATTTCTAGGTCCCAAATATTAGCGATTTAGCTCCTTTAATTATTCTAAGTATATGAGTATATTTTTTTGCCGATAGCTCGGGAAGTTTGTGTTAAATGCGTTAATAATTCTTTCTTTTGTAGAGAAATTAAGCAGTATGCACATCCGGGTAATGAACGATGTGTAGTTGCACTGTTGAAGACTTATTTAAGCAACATACCCTCAGAAGGACCCTTCTATAGACGAGCACTTTCACCAAACGAAGAAAGGTCAGCAAGGTTTTCTCAGCAAAAGCTTGGATTACCCACCATCCAGAAATTGTTCAGCACAATGTGTAATCAAGCTGGTCTTGAAGGACGCTTTACAGGTCATTCAGGAAAAGCAAGTTTCTTTTGATTAAATTTATTTTCTTGAGCCGCGGTCCCCAGGTTCCATCGGGATTGTTCGTTTTCCCCATGTTATTTAAGGGCCTCGTACGGAAAATCGCCTGGTCGTTCGGATGGGATGAAAACCATGGTCCCGTGTATGTAATTGTCAGTGCGTAAAAGAGTAGACGTAATGGACGCTGTCCTATCAAAATTCACACATGGCACACTGCATGGCTTTTGGCCTTTTTCATTAGCCCAAATTGTACAACAAAAAGTAGGAAGTTAAATCCCATTTCATTTGATATAAGAGTAGGTCGTAGTGCCGCTTTCCTGGCTAAATTTCCCTCATAGCACACTGTATGGCGTATACCCGTCTTCGTTAGCCCAGTCCGGATCAGAACAGTAGGACGTTAAACCCCATTTCACTTCATTTTGACGGATGTTCGTACTGCTTTTTGTAGGTTACTTTGGCCACGACCCTATTTCAAGAAGGTTATGAAGAACAGCTTGTAATGGAAAGGACGGGACATCGGAGCAACGCCGTAAGAGTTTACAAACGTACTTCTACATCTCAGCAAAAGGAGATATCGGATGTATTACAGCCGCCACCGCCTAAACGACCAGCCCAAGAGGAAGATGATCTGAAAATAGAGCAGACCGCATCGCCAAAACTGCTCACTCCACAGTTAGTTGATCTGAAAGTAGAGCAGACCACATCGCAAAAACTGCCCACTCCACAGTTAGTTGATCTGATAGTAGAGCAGACCACATCGCCAAAACTGCCCACTCCACAGTTAGTTGATCTGAAAGTAGAGCAGACCACATCGCCAAAACGTAATGTAAAGGACACCACAAAACGTGGTTCAATCCTGGTGAAGTGTGCATCGGCGGATGGTTCATCCGTAGAAATTTATTTGTAATAAAATTTATGACTTTCTAGGCGTTTGTTTTCATTCTGCTTATTTTCAATGCTTGTATAAAAAAAAGTGTTCGTTTGTCGGAAATGAACAGTACTCTTTTTATAAAGTGTACTGTTCATTTCTGATACACGGATACTTTTATGCCTGTATTGGAAATAAACAGGATAGTTTTATCAAAGGTTGCCAGTGGCAACGAGGTAGAAGTGGGATGTAAGTAATATAACAGTATAAGTCACTTATACTGGATTATGGCCCCTGAGTTTACAAAAATCGCTCGTTCTCTCTTCATCTCTTGCAAAATGTGGGCGTATCTTAAATGGCAACCGCCGGTTTCTTTAGGGTTTGATACAGATCTCGTTCGCGTTTCGTGCGATTCATTGTGTGAATGTAATTACAACACGATATCTTTATTATAAGACCCGTCATGCAAGATGCAGAAGGGAGGGGGCTGATTCTAAATTCACCCTTAAGAGTTCGATTGGATGCCATGGGCTCTAGTATCAATGATTATAGATTATGTTTCATTGTAGTAACTTGTATCTGGTATATTACACGTGGCTTCAAGCTTGAGCTTAATTTGAGGTACTACCCTTGAGTAAATCAAAATTATAACCATTTAACATTATATAACCTTCTTAAAAACATTAAAATGCGATATAGGACAGACATGGAAGTTATTTGGTGTATACTTTATCTGAAGAAAGTATTACTATCTCCATGTTTTGAAAAGGCGTTTATATATGTTTTCATTTTTATAGGTTTGAGAAGTGATGACAGCCGAAGGTTAGGAACGTTTTGTGGAAACATTACTGAAGGGAACAATATGACGTATCTAGCTGAAAATAACATGTTTATACGACTTCTTACAGCAGCCCAGGTTTATCGCAATGGAGGGTTTCGGATCAGATATTACCTAGCAAAATCTTCGGGTAAGTAGACAGGCGTCATATACGTGTACTTGTACTGTTTTCTGAGCAGGTCGGACAAACGATCCAAAAGCCATATGTTATTACTTGATTTTTCGTCTGGCATACATATTTGCACATTACTCTATTCCACCTAAGACTTACATATTAATATAATAGCGTATAGGTGATTGACCAGCGAATGGTGAAGCACAAGGAATTGCAGGCTCTTAAAATGTAGAATTGAAATGTATTCCATAGATGTCAGTTTATATTATATCCTAATCGAGTATCAAAATACCCAGCCCTAGCGACATGTCCGCCTTAAATAAATGTGCCCGTGCTTCCTAATTGGTTTCTAAGCGGCCTACATTGAAATATCAGTGCTGTGTGGTGTAAACAGATGTTATGGTGGACGTGTCCCTATTTAGAATAAAGTACAATTCATCATACCTTATCAGTGATTGCTAAATACCACCAAGCTGCAAGCTGGTAGATACTTGACCACTACAAATAATTTGTATTCATTACATTTTGTTCTATTTTTAAGACCGTCGACTACGCCCTAAATTCAAAACATTGTACCTAAAAGCACAACCTGACCATCAGAATTTTACTTCACCTAACTATCCCTACCAATATGGAAGGTAAGTGAACGGTTTGATTGTCAACAACCAGGTCAGACATAGACCGAGAATCAAGTGGGTTGTTGGTTGTATCTAACTTACTTGTCTTTGGCTGATGAACACGTATCTGTCTGCAGAAATCATGTTACACAAACAAATGATACGTCGTATATACCATTTTATACGTCCACGCGTAGTTTGGGGGTAAACAGACGTCTCCCTGTCCGTCCGTCAACAATAGTGATAGAGGCTATTGTCTTTGACGGATCATTTTCAAGTTTGGCGGGAAGCATTGAGGTATCGACCCCTATCGACATTCAGCGTTCCGCGACCTTTCGTCCCAAAATTATGTCCCCTGTGAACGCGATGGAGGCTACAGTTTTAACCGACGTTCCGAACTGGAGTTATCCCCCTTTTACGAAAACTTAGGGGATACTCGATTGAACGTTCCAGAATTAAATTCTCTCAATTTCAAAATACTGTCAATCGAGTGAAAAGGAGAATTTCGGAGTACAACACATGACTGTGCCGACTGAATAAAAAATATCATCTCAACCAATCATGACTGCTGAAATATATTTGTTTTTTTTAAAATACGTCACGATTATACTCACACCAACTCAGCTGTTGGGACTGGCAGAACTGTCACAGGGCTGAATTCCGTATCACTTGATTGCAATTCTCACAATTCGGGACATTCCGGACTAACAATCGAGTATCCCATCATGAGTATAGTTTGTAACCGATTCATTTCAAATGTGTATAGTGCTGTGGTCATTAGTGAACGAACCCCATAGATCTCCCGTAGCAACGGTACCCGGGAGTGAGAGGGCTACAGTATTTCTATAATTTGGTGTGAAGCATTGTGTTCCGAGACTTTCGGAGCTGGAACTTATCCCCCTTTTCCCGAAAACCTTGTGCGCACGATAAAGACTACGATTTTACGGATACATCACAAATTTGCTTAAAAGTACATAGTCCTACTATAGATGCTATACCACCTAAAGATCAAGAGCTCAATAAATGTCTAACACTTCATCTCCCTTTGAAAAACGAGATCAGATTTTCGATTACGTTTTATTTAAACACTCTATAGGCGAATCATTGGCCTTATCAATCAACGCTGAATTTCGTCTAGTGCCGAATTTGCATTCGCCCGAATAATTCGCTCGATTCAAACATGTTTGATATTTTCAGTCGAATTTTCATTGGCAGCGTTAATATTCGCCTATAGTGCGCCCTGTTCGCCGAATACATCGGCCGAGTGTAGTATTCATTAGCCAATCACTCATGTCGAGAAAGTATTGTGATGTGGCGACTATCTTGGAAACATGTAATTTAGTTGACATTACAACTAGTTGACATTATCTGGTGACATACGCATGTAGGCTGTTGAATCGGGCAAATATTTTGCTTAGTGTGTCCATTCAATTGACTGAATGAATTCGGCGAAGATTGATTCGGGCAGAAAGTCAAAATAAACCGGAATTTCCGACATTTCGAACATGTAAGTCGACCTTTAAAATTTATCTATAAAAATCATTCACAATTTGCAATTGATCGCTGAGAGTAGAATGTTTATCGTTACTTTAAGATTCTTGGCAAAATCCGTAACATCTGAGCGGAGGTGATAATAAATATTAAAACTTTCATACCTATACCGTACTGTCTGGTGAACCTGTATCATTTAAAACTTGGCAAATTTAAGGTACTTGACGAAATCCGTAACATCTGACGGGACGTGCTGTCCAGTTGAAATGTTTCTCGTTATATCTTTGTGATTTTTTAGCCTATTTTAATAATTCCCTTATCTTGGCAATTCCATAACTTGTGACTGTAAGTGTTGATAAATATGAAGATTCTACCTTTGTGAATTTTTAACTATTTTACCCATATCGCCCTGGAACTTAACTTGAACAATACACATTACTTTATTGTAGTTTTGATTAAAATTTATAATGTATGCAGAATGATTGTCGCATTAGCCCCATCAACAATGGATTGATCAGAAGTGATGTGTCCCTCCATTTACATCTTATCGTTACGCTTGTGTTCAAATCACGTGAACATGTCTGTATTTAAATCCTTTATTTTAATTAAAGCGATGTTTCATGTTTTTGTATTACGTATGTCTATATTGCTAAATGCCGCTCAAAGAAGAGACTGAAACATATTAGCGCCGTTAAACTAGCGATGTCATTCAAAACTAAAACATTGGCTAGAATGTTTTTCGTTTCTTTTATATGTATTAATTATTTGAAAGAGATTAAGAAGGCTTTGACTTATCCCAATTGGACATATCATTTATCTTATACATGGAATAATATTAAAAGCAGTAAAGGTCACAAAAATTCCTCGCTGCGCTCTGTAATATCACTTTATGCCTTACTGTCTTCGCTCCTCTGGTCCAAATTCGTAGCCACGTCATTGTGTTTGATGTAGATATTATAACAATATATATAACTCCATTTTGTATACAAGATTCGGCGGTTTTCGTTAAGATGATCCACGATTTTAAGATGACCCTAATTTTGTCTTTCCACAGCAATTTAAACTATAGGTGGATAATAAAATCTA